TTATTTTGAGACTCCCAAACGCACAAAATCATGTGTTGATCCAGATCAACCATCAACATCAACTACAAAGCCAAATCGTTTCAGAAAGAAGACAATGCTCTGCGTTTGGTGGGATCAGGAAGGTGTGGTGTAGTATGAGCTTCTAAAACCAGTGAAACCGTTAATACTGATCGCTACTGACAACAAATAATCAATTTGAACTGCGATTTGATTGTGAAACGACCAGAATGGGCCAGAAGACAGCAAAGTAATTTTGCTTCATGATGACGCACCATCACATATTTAAACCAGTTAAAGACACGTTAAAAGATCTTGCCTGGAAAGTATTAACCCACTCACTGTATTCACCAGACCTTGCTCCTTCAGATTACCACTTGTTTTGATTGATGGCACACGCACTTTATAAGCAGCATTTCAAAACGTACGAAGAAGTGGAAAATTGGGTCTCTGAATGGTTTGCCTCAAAACAAAAAACGTTCTATTGAGATGGTACCCACAAATTACCTGAAAGATGGGGGAAATGTATAGCTAGCGATGGACATTACTTTGAATAAAGCACTTTTGATGTTTCTCTTGAAATGATCATGTTTTCTTTGATTACAAAATCCACATTATTAACCGGTACACCTGGTATTTATATTATTCTGTTTCTTTGAGCAAAAGCATTACTTTTTTCCTCCCTCTTTTGAAACTAGTAACATATTCCTGCCTTCAGTTGTAAATAAGACCAGCTCTATAAAACTGAATGCTAATCCTGTGAAAGAGAGAGCCTCCGAATGTTTACAGTGTCACTTTGCTGTGATGAGGATAGCAAATGAATTTATACGGACAGTAAGAGCAATTCCTCTACTATGCTTTGATCAGAATTACAAATGAAGTGCTCTGTCAGACTCAGAAAATCGCTTTCTTTGAGAATTGAAAAGTAAAATTTTCATGCTTTATTTATTTTTGTAAGAGATTTTTTAAATTGATTTTTAGAGAGAGGGGAAAGGAGAGGGAGAGAGAAACATCGATTGGTGTGAGAGCAAAACATCAATTGGCTGCCTCCTGCACTCCCCCTACTGAAGACCTAGTCCACAACCCAGGCATGTGCCCTGACCGGGAGTGGAACCAGTAACCTATCGGTGCACAGGATGACACCCAACCAACCGAGCCACACTGGCCAGGGCTGCATCCTTTATTTTAATTAGAGGATTATATGTAAAATAGAGGCCTGGTGCACAGAAATTTGTGCACTTGGGGGAGGGGTTCCCTCCGCCCATCCTGTGCCCTCTTGCAGTCTGGGACCCTCAGGGGATGACCACCTGCTGGCTTAGGCCCGCTCCCCGGGGGATTGGGCCTAAGCTGGCAATCAGGCATCCCTCTGGCATCCCAGCAGCCCTTGGGGGATGTCCACTTGCCAGAGGGTAGCAGACTTAGGCTGCAGTCAGACATCCTTAGCGCTGCTGAGGAGGCAGGAGAGGCTCCCACCACCACCGTTGTACTGGCAGCCATCAGCCTGGCTTGTGGCTGATCAGAGCTCCCCCATGTGGGAGCGCACTGACCACCAGAGGGCAGCTCCTGCATTGAGCGTCTGCCCCCTGGTGGTCAGTGTGTGTCATAGTGACCAGTCATTCCCAGTCTTCCTGCTGTTAGGGTCAGTTTGCATATTACCCTTTTACTATATAGGATAGAGGCCTGGTGCACAGGTGGGGGCCAGCTGGTTTGCCGTGAAGGGTGTCCTGGATCAGGGAGAGGGTACTGCTGGGGTTTCTGGCCAGTCTGGATGAGGGACTGATGGCTGTTTTCAGGCTGGCCACACCCCCTTCAGGGTGGGGTCTCCACTGGGGTGCCTGGCCAGTCTGGGTGAGGGGCTGAGGGCCGTTTTCAGGCTGGCCAGCGACTGAAGCTCCCAGCCTCTCCATTTTTTCATTTTTTCTTTTATTCTGGGATTTATTTACCTTCTATAATTGAAACTTTGTTGCTGTCACTGGAGCTGAGAGCCGGCTCCTGCTCGCTCCAGCTCTGAGGCCACGGCCTGCTGAAAGCAGGTAGCTGGGGTTTGTTTAGCTTCTATAATTGGGGTTTGTTTAGCTTTTAGAGCTCAGAGCTGGGCCGTGGCAGGTGGGGAACCTTGGCTTCCTCCATCACTGGAGCAAGCAAGCCTCCTGCTCGCTTCAGTGCGTGGCTGCTGGCCGTCATCTTGGTTGGGTTAATTTGCATATTGTGCTGATTAGCCAATGGGAGGTGTAGCGAAGGTATGGTCAATTACCATGTTTGTCTGTTATTAGATAGGATAGTATATGAATACTTAAAAAGTTCCCAGTGTATAAAGGTATACATGCAAAGGATCTAACATTAGGCCTCGGAAAACTGGTTTAAATTTTCGAATATTGACATCACAAGAATAGTCCTAAGTGTTTTTCCAGCTACTCAAACATGTGCAGGACGTTTACAGTTATTGGCAGGACAGTTAACCACCCCTGCTTTTAAAAGAACTAAATGTTATAATTTTCTTAAGCACATAAGTGACTGCCGGAATCCAGATGTTCTTTTATTACCAGGATTCAACCCACACACAATTCTAGTTTCTTTCCAAGATATCCTACTTAAAAACAGTGGCACCAGAGCCACTTATTATTAACCCTAATTATTATTATTGTTATTTTTAGAACTTCAAGTCTGCAGAAGTCTAACAGCCTGGGCAATCTGAAGAAAGAGTCATCAGATGGGGTTGGTTCTGTGTTGTTTTTTTTCCTGTCTGTTACCCTGAGAAGAAAATATTTAGGGATCTTCATCTTTTCCCATGTTGCAAGTAAAACTCTTAAGAAGAGCTTGTGGTTTCTTGACGGAAAATTATTAGATAATAGGAAATGATTGGGTTAAGGATAAATATCAAGAAGTATGATAGGAAGGATTGAAAGTAGTGCATAAAAACAAAAATAGAGACTTTAATAATAAAACATTGTTGGAAATAAATGAAACATTTTGTAGCTGGGATATATATGTAAATTTATTTTAATTTATGGAATTGTATGTGACAAACTATGAATATATAAGGGATTCCTATAACAATCTTAACTGTTGTTGTTTTGAACAGGAAAAGGAGTCTCTTCAGAAGCCTCCAGAGGTAATTTTCATGTCCAGGTTGCAATGTAAAAATGTTTTAGACTTCTAATGCATAAGATTGCTTAAATGCCTCTAGTAGACAAAACTCACAGAAACATACTAAATGAAAGAAGCCAGACACAAATGATCGCGTCTTATATGATTCCAATTATGTGAAACATCCAGGCTAGATAAATTCATAGAGACAGCTCGGAGGTTGGTGGTTGCCAGGGGCGGAGGAGAGCGGAATGGGGAGAAGCCGCTTAATGCCAAGGGGTTTTCCTTTAGAACATGGAGGCCTTTGGAACTAGATAGAGATTGTTGTTTGCAACACATTGTGAATGTACTAAATGCCACTGCATTACTTTAGAATAGTTACTTTTATGTTACATGAATTTCACCTCAATAGGTTATTGGAAAAACAAAAAGAAAATGCCAAACTCAGTCACGCAGTTTAGCATTCTTAGCGATTGTCACTGGGCTTCCTTTGACCTCACAGGAAGCCCTTCTTAGATCACCAGGGGTTTATTTTATGCAACCACTGTCCACCTACAGCAAACAATCTGCTATTTTAGAGGCATCGTTGAGATGTGCTCTGGTTCTTCTTTCCTCTGATTTTCGATCATTAGCCTCGTAGAGGTTACCGTCTGGTAGACGGGCTACTTCCAGATGCAATTTCTTGGCTATTGGCTCTCGGTGCCTTGAGTCATAGTGTAGGTAGAACTGAGGAAGCACAGACAGCGGGCACAGCTGTAATTAAAGCCATCCTCTGTTCTTTTCGCCCTGCCAACTCAATAGCGGAGTGCTTTTGACATCAGTGCTAAGACATGAATATTAGTGCCACTAATCTGTGGCATCTGTAAACTTTTAGTTACTATGAGCAGTAAATATGTAGAACCAACCACCTTCAGAGCCTATATCCATCCCCTTGCCCTTTTCTCCACTTCGGAAGAAACAGAGGGCAGGAGATGTTAGAGAGATGAGAGCATCCAAACAAAAGCATTGTTGCATGATACTGAAACCATATAAAAGACCATGATACTATAATTGCCAGTTCAAATAACCAGAAAGCTAAAAGTAATAAGCAGCATTGAAAAGCATAATTTAATCACAGTGGAAGTTCTGAAATACTGTAGAAATCTGAAGTAGCTTCTGAATCAACCAAGAACAATTTAATTAGAGTCAGTTTAGTTTTAGGTAAGTGTATCTGAATATATCACAGTTTTTGAAAATTGTTAATCCAAATTTAGTAACTTCCAGGCAGGATATGAATATATCCCAGGATCTCATTTCAAAAATAGTTTAAACAGTTGCTTATTATACCTTCATTTTATTAATTATTTGAGGAGAATATTTAAAATAATTGAAGTACAATCTCCTTATACTGCCTGTGTAGATGCTTGCGAATAATGCCTGCTTTCTGGAGTAAGTATATTATGCTGTATTGGGCTTCTATAGATGCAGTTATATTATAAAGACTGAACTGTCTCATAGCCAGATCTGTGTCATAATTATTGGAAAAGAAGTCTATTGTTATTCTGGTTTTTTATCTCTATGTTGTTTTTTTTTGGGGGGTGGGGGGAGATAAGGCAAAGAACACTTGAGAATTTCTGTATCTATCCTAATTTTTAAAGTCCCTAATATTTAAATATGAATTATAAGTTAGTGACAAGCATGTTTTGTTGTTTCTTAAGTAGCTTTCAGAATTGACTTTTTAAACTTCTCATGTGGCACTTGGTATTCGTAATCAATGTACTAGTTTAGTTATTCCTTTAAGTGCAATCACATATGTAACATATTCATTATTGTGCCTGGCAGGTGCTCATAATTATGTGCATTGGTGTTGCTTCATTTATTTTTACTTCTCTCTCAGGATAAAGCTTCGGTAGAAAGCAGCCCGTTTGGGACCCTCCCTCCCAAAGCCCCAGGGCACGATGCCTGCTTGGATGACAACCCCTTTGGCACCCGAAAAGGCAGATCTTCCTTTGGTCGTGGCTTCTTTAAAATAAAAAGTAATAAGAGGACAGCAAGTGCGCCGAACTTGGGTAGGTCTGGCCAAAACGCCTTTGCCCGAATTCCATCACAACAAGGAAGAGAACAGTCTCTTCCTTTCCCCGACTCATCTATTTATGCATTTCTCTTTCTCAGAAATGAAGGTGAATGATGTAGGGAGGAAATTAGCAAAAAAAAAAAATGCTTCTGTGGATTTAATTCAGTGGTCTGCTGAAGGTAGCTCTGTGTAGACTCCCTGGCTATCTCTTCTGGGGTGTACACAAAAGGAAGACCTAAAACCGTGATTCCCTCTGACTTCATTGTAACCAGCTTCCCATCTATTTTTCCCATGGACAAATTAACCCCATGTTGACACTGCTCGTGGAGTCGCGTGGAACTCGCCTTCCCTCCACCGTGTGTACTTTGGGAGTAGGAGTCTCATCTGTGTTTCATTTTGTCATTCCCCTGTGTTCTCTCCATTGGGCTGCGTGTGATTGTGTGCGTTGTTGGGATATCTGAAGATCGTACACGAAGTGCCAGTGCACCCACCTTAGGTATCGTACCCCTGCATGCCAGGCTCGGCTAGCGCTGCGCTCCAAACCGGGCTAATCCCTGCTCTTGGCATCTGTGATCTCTAGAAAGCGCGCTGGCAGCAACCAAAAAATGTAGTTCTCTACTCCGGAGGGTTCTTTCCACCTTCTGCTAAGAAGGACTCTCTGTAGAACCTTTGCTTTCAAGCGGAAATGCTGTTGTAAGCAATGCTAATGACACCTTGCGAGCAGCACTGGGGGGATCCAGCGCACACAGCATCCCTCTGAGTGCAGGGCAGGCGTGTCCTGGCATTTAAACAGCTTTCACCCTTGAAGCACAGTTCCTCTCACGCTGACTCCCAGGTCCTTGCTGTTCCTGCCCCATGTTTCCATTTTCCCTAGCCTCCAAAAAGAAACATTTTTAGCCAAATAGAGAGATCTGTGGAAGAGTTTGAAAATGGTTTTTTAGACTTAATTCTCTTAGGGGAACGTTCTCCTGACATGTTATTGCTTTGAAGATAGAGGGAACATTTCCTGATGACACAGGTAACTCAATGTGTTCTTTGAGGAGTTGCCCCCAAAGTGATTTTCCGAGGAAGAAGTTCAGTTTTCCTCTTTAAAGGGCAGGCTTCCTGGAGGGGGAAGGAAAAAAAAGTCTAAACGTAAAAATGAGATGCTTTTGAAATGCGGGTGGGGTAGGCAACTTTTCAGGAACATCAATACCCATCATGGCTGTAAGGATTTGAATGGGAAGTTCCTTTGGGTTTTCCCAACGGGCTCTGTTACCTTGTATTGATATCCACATATCTATTCACTTGGGTCATCAAAGGTGACTCCTCTCTCTTTGTAGCCTTAAATGTCTAAAATGAACACTGGATGAATAAAATAAACTGATTCATCCAGATAACTATTTTCAAATGTTTTGTTACCTTTCTTAGAAAGGTATTGTCAATGCTAAGAGGAAAATGCTGCTTACTGTAACCTATAACCACAGCTCTGCTTCATAGAAAAGTCAACCTCTGCAACCTTTACCACTCTCTAAGACACTGCTCCTGTGATTTTTGTACAACTTTTACTTTCCTCGATAAAAGTGTAAAAACTCACATTGAAGAAACAGTAGCCCTTGTGTTTGCTAGTGTGGGATCACCCGTTAAGGAACAGCTAAAAGAACTGAAATAGTTAATGCTTGGAGATCCAAGAGTAGCAAATTTGGATGTTATTTTTGTAAGGCAGAATCAACAGACACTAATTTTATATCAAACAAAAAAATTTCATATTCAGTTTATTCTTCTCTCAGTGCCTAGGATGTAATAGGTTATGAACAAAAAAACATTTCTGGAATAAAGAATTGCCAGAACTTGGTAACCGATTTGAAATAAATGCCAAAGGTAAGGAAGAAATGAAAAGAAAATGACAGAGAGTTTGAACTGGAGTGCAAGGAACATATTAATATCAATGAAATATTAAATAAGGACATCAAGAAAAGACTCAGAAAAAAATTGTATGGGAATTTTGCTGAGTCCGAGATACCCCTGGCACACTGAACTGGGAATATACACAGCAGATACTGAGGCTGGAGAGAAAGATGAGGCCCCATAGATTTTGATGCCAACTGCTTATCAATGAGTGAAGCCATCATTTAGTGCTGAGCATAGAGTGGGTGGGCTTGTCAAGAGATCCTGCAGAGGGAACTTAGAAAAGAATCTTGGAGTGGAGTGGAGGAGGAGGGGAAAACAGGGTGCTATAGCAAAGAAGGAGCTATCAGATAGCAGATCTAGGAGAGAGTCATGCCAAGAAGCTAAGGAAGATGATGACCCCGAAGGATGTAGGAGATAGTCAGCAATACCAAATGGTATAGCAGTATTGAGAATAATTCCATTACGAATTAAATTACTTAAGGAAAGAATTTGGATCTCAAAGGTGTTGTATTTCTTAAGTTAATTGACTTTACACACAACTGATGTAGAGTAGAACAGGGTGCTTTTTGGTTTATAGGCCAACAGAAGAATTCTTACCAGTTGTTAAAGCCAAGAACCTAACCTCTAATCATGCTCATTTTCTATATTAAAATTCATTGAGTTTGTTTCCTCTTCTTGGAATAGCTGAAACAGAAAAGGAGACAGCCGAGCACCTAGACCTGGCTGGTGTATCTCCTCGGCCAAAAGGTTCACAGGGGAGCGGCCCCTTCCAGATGTCCCCATCATCTCCAGATTCCAAAAAGAAATCCCGAGGTATCATGAAACTCTTTGGAAAGTAAGTAACAGGGTGAACAAGTGGAATGGACTTTGTCTTATATGTTGTTCAAACGTAGGAAGAAATGGAAAGTTGGCTGAAAATGGATATGAAATTGTAAAGCTTCCGTGTTCCTCTTCTGGAAGGAAGATTGTGATTTGAGATTCATTAACTCATTGGGTCTCAAACTTTAAATCCAAATGTCTACTCTAATGACAGACAAAGAGGAGTAACTCAAATGTATACACCGATTACAAATGTTCCGCTTAGTCTAAGGCCTCCTCAGGTCAAATACAAGGCAATGTGTGTTATATCTTTTCTTCAGACTTAGGAGAAGTCAGTCAACTACATTCAACCCAGATGACATGTCTGAAACTGAATTCAAACGAGGAGGGACGAGGGCAACTGCTGGGCCCCGATTGGGTTGGTCTCGAGATTTGGGACAATCTAATAGGTAAGAACATCCAAACTAATGGACTTCTGCATCTCTACCCAAGCATCAGGGGGGAGTCTCATGAGCACCAGCAATGCTAGTATTGTCCTTGGGTTGCACAGTCAGATCCATTGCTTATTGCCATGCCTAGTGGAAGGGTCCATCATCTTTAGAGCAGTGTAATTTGGCAATGGTTAGTGAACAACTGTGCAGCAGATGTGGGCTATCTGAGCTAGGTGAGGAGCCACAGCTGAAGTGCCCGCAACATCTGTATTAGAATGAATATCAGACTTAGTTTTCAAAGAAAATAATTATAAGTACTCTAAATCATAGCCTTGCAAAGATAGGACAGTATAGTTTTTACGAGTAG